ACCTATGAAAGCGTTACTCGACAAGTTGAGCAAATATAGTGATTTCAAATCTCCCATTTCCTTGGGTATTGGCCCACTGAAATTGTTGCATGAGAAGTCAATCAAGGTCAAGATAGTTAGAATCTTTGCCAGATCCCTCTTTAAACCTTTGCTTGTAATCGTTATAGCAGGCTCATTACACATATTATAAGTCTCAACATATTATTTGTTACAATGACTATCAACATTTAGGATATTTATATGTATTCTATACTTATGTGTTGTTATAATTAATAAATTGTTTGCTAGCATGAGATTTTATTTAATTGAAACTTAATTCTATTCGAACTTTATATGTTCCAAAAAATGTAAGCTTTCAATTGAATTAGAATGCGTGAAATGTTTAGATGTTTAGCAGATTATAACTCTTGAAATGTTAAAACATTTTAATTTTGTATTAAATAAGCTTAACGACCAAACCAAACCGAATCAAACCAATTAATTATGATTTAAATTAGTTCAATTTCAATGATTATATTGTTCAAAATTGAACCAAACCAATCTGTTAAATACTAATTTATTCGATTGTATTTTCAATGTCAAGTTGAATCAAACGGGTCACACCCATCTTAATTTTGGATGGCCTTGAACCCGGGCCAACGATATCCTTGGAAAGGCCCTCAATCCAAATATGGATAGTGCTCGTGAGAGTCGTAATTGGGATTTTGCTAGTCCAAAGAAATAAATCCAAATCGAATCGGGGCGGGTCAATTTCTGTCGACGCAATTTACGCCGCCAAGCACGAGGCACCGGCGATAGAAGCTTCCAGCCCAGTGGAAGAAGAAAGCGTTGGTTTTCAGCCCTTAGTTCAAACGTGCCACGCAGAGTCTCCCAAAACATGGACATGGATATCGACGAAACAGCCAAAGGTACGCCCTTTTCTCCAAAACGCCGCGTTTGATAATTCTGGGTCGTCGTCACCTTCGATTACAAAACCTGTATGCACTTTTGACAGGGGAAGAAAAGCAAGGAAAGTCCGTCGTAGTAATATTGGTGGGTGCGCCCGGAAGCGGAAAGTCCACCTTCTGTGAACATGTCATGCGCTCCTCCTCCGCTCGCCCCTGGCTTCGCGTTTGCCAGGTATATCTACGTGCACACCATATGTTCGATGAAATGGCTCAGTGAGCTCAAGATTAGTATTTTCAGGAATTCATATGATACTCTGGATACTCCGGATTGCTGTTCATATGGGCTATTGTTTTTTTTTATGCTGTTAGGTTCTCATTTTTTATGTTTTTGTAGGATACTATAAAAAATGGTAAAGCCGGAACGAAAGCGCAGTGTATTGAGAGTGCAATGAAAGCATTGAAGGATGGGAAGAGTGTTTTTATAGATAGATGTAATCTGGAGAAGGAACAAAGGGATGAGTTTGTGAAGCTTGGTGGTAGTACCCAGGTTGATGTTCATGCTGTGGTGCTTGATCTTCCTGCCAAGCTTTGTATATCGCGGTCTGTGAAGAGAATGGGCCACGAGGGAAACTTGCAAGGTGGGAGAGCTGCTGCGGTTGTGAATAGAATGCTGCAGAAGAAAGAACTGCCTAAACTGAGTGAAGGGTTTGCTAGAATCACTTGTTGCCAGAGTGAGAGTGATGTTCAATCTGCCGTTGATGCATATAGTGGACTTGGCCCGCTGGATACACTTCCCAGTGGTTATTTTGGCCAGAAGAACACCAGTGCGAAAGTACAACTAGGTATAATGAGGTTCTTAAAGAAAACAGATGAATCCGCTTTGAAGAGTGTACCAGATTCTAATACTTCTCGAATTACTGAAGAAAAGGAAACCTCTTCGAAGGGAACAGGTTCATTGTCTGAAAATTCTGGTAAGGAGTCGAAGGAAGGTGAACAGCTATTTGTAGGCTCTGTTGGCGGTGATGTTTCTCTAAACTATTCCCCCACTCTGGCATTTCCCTCCATATCCACAGCAGATTTTCAATTTGACATTGAGAAGGCGTCTGATATTATTGTCGAGAAAGTTATAGAATTTGTAAATAAGCTTGGAAATGCTAGACTTGTTTTAGTGGACTTGAGTCATAAATCAAAGATTTTGTCTTTGGTAAGGGCTAAGGCTTTAGAGAAAAACATTGACTCCAACAAGTTCTTCACATTTGTGGGAGACATCACTCGGCTTCATTCAGGAGGAGGTTTACACTGCAATGTAATAGCTAATGCTGCTAATTGGTAAGCATTTAGAAATACTAAGAAATATACATGTAAATATTTTGTTGCGGTGCTAGTTCACAATATGAAAGAACAGATCTGTAGGATTTTGCATTTGTCCCCTCTGTTAAACCAAAACATGGTGTTTTAGAATTATGCTGAATTCAAGTTTTGCATATGTAACCCCTGCAGTTGAAATGTAAAGTTTGATATGTTTTCTTCACCTTTATAATATTTACTTTAAGTTAGTACAAAAAAAATGTGATTATATGTTTTACATATAAAGTAGATTGAAAATAAATATTTATTCTGGTGCAGGCGTCTTAAACCTGGAGGTGGAGGTGTCAATGCTGCAATCTTCAGTGCTGGAGGTCCATCTTTGGAGCTTGCAACCAAAGAACAAGCCCAATCTCTGTATCCTGGGAGTGCTGTGGTTGTGCCTCTCCCTTCAACTTCTCCCTTGTTTAGTAGGGAAGGGGTAACCCATGTCATACATGTTGTTGGACCCAACATGAACCCACACAGACCAAATTGTCTGAACTATGACTATAGTAAAGGCTGCAAAGTTCTCCGGGAGGCTTACACTTCACTTTTCGAAGGTTTCGCAACAATTTTGAGGTCCCAAGCAAAGTTACCCAAGGGAAGCATTGAGAACCTGCAGGCAAAGCTGCCAGAGTCACAAGAACATTCTGATGGTGCCTCTAGAAATCATTTTACAAACAGCGATCAAAAGACTAAGAGAGAGGATCCTCACAAATATGAGAGGAGCAAAAGAAGTAAAGCATATCAGGATGATACTGAAGATTCTAACACTGGTAAACCAAACCTGAGCAACAAGTCCGGTGGAAGCAGGACTAAATCCTGGGGGTCATGGGCTCAGGCTCTCTACAACACTGCTATGCACCCAGAGAAGCACAAGGATGCAGTGCTAGAGATATCAGATGATGTCGTTGTGCTGAATGATCTTTATCCAAAGGTAAATGATACCTAGTTTCCATATATTGTTTGTCATCCTCTTCAACTTTCCGTCTGATGAAAAAAAAAAAACTTTCGGAATTTCGCAGGCAAAAAGGCATGTTTTGGTGGTGGCACGATGTGAAGGTCTTGATCGACTGTCAGATGTTCATAAAGAACACCTTCCATTGTTAAGGACAATGCATGAAGTTGGTCTGAAGTGGGTTGAGAAATTCTTGCATGATGATTCATCTTTGGTCTTCCGTCTTGGATATCACTTGGTACGCATGCTAATTTTCTGAGAGCTTGCTGTTATATTCGTTTGCTCCAACATTGCCTTTTGGAATCCTTTTTGCTAAAGGACTCGTGAGGTTAGTATTAATACAACAGACTAGATGTAAATAATAAATTAAGTGTTTCGGGACATCATCTCTTGCAGGATCCCTCAATGCGACAGCTGCATCTGCATGTTATCAGCCAGGATTTTGATTCAACATACTTGAAGAATAAGAAACACTGGAACTCCTTCAATACTGCTTTCTTTCGAGACTCCATGGATGTGGTGGAGGAAGTCAGTAGTGATGGAAAAGCAAAGCTAAAAGAAGACGATAGCATGTTGTCTATGGAGTTGCGATGCCACCGATGTAGAAGCGCTCACCCCAACATACCCCGATTAAAATCTCACATTACTAACTGTCGAGCCACCTTTCCTAGCACCCTGCTCCAAAATGGTCGTCTTGTTCACGCACCAAGCAATGTCAGCATTGGTCCGTAGGTGACAATCCATCGCATCTCATCGAAATTTTGCTGTATATAAACAAATGCTTTTTGGTGGCTTAAACGTTATTGCATCGAGATCTTTGGTATGGCTTTCCATGATTCTCACAAGTTTGTGTTCTCGTAGGGGTTAGTAGTAACAAAATGCATTTTCAAGTACTCATTTGATTACCCTTTCATTTTTAGTTGTCAAAATTACAGTGTTTTTGAACTTGTTAAAACAACAAAAGTCAACAATTTCTCAGAAAGCATTTGGGATCTAATTAAATTGTGTGATCACCCTCTTTTTTGATTTTTTTTCTTCAAAGTGTCTTCATCATCTCGTGTGACTAGTTTTCGATTCTTCAAAGTGACTTCGTCATATCGTGAGACAAGTTTTCAACTTGCCCCAACCTAAACGGCAGAGCCGTCTCAATGCAAACTTAGTCCTAAGACGAAAATGAAATGAGGTTTTCCAAATTTAGTACATTATCATTTATCACTACCAAAAACGAAAACTTTGTTCCACTACTTGTTCCTCTTTTTCTTGATCGTTGTCGTCCTGCTTCACAGCCGGTGTCTTGAAGATGAGCTATCAGCACTCCTCCATTTCAAGAAGAGACTTCTGTTCAATTCTTGTACGTCCACCAAGCTCGTATCCTGGAATTCAAGTAGCGACTATTATTCTTGGGATGGTGTTACTTGCAGTAGTACTAAGGGGGCGTGTTGTCAACCTTGGCCTCAGTAACGAATTTACCAAACGTGATGAGTCCCTCTCCAAGCTTCAGAGTCTCATCGTGATTCAATTGTGTTGAGTAAAGCAAAGTCTGTCATCAGTCCCTTGATTTAAGGAGTCCACACATGAGTCTAACTCATGTAATAGCTTGTATAGGCCTTAATTCCAGGATCTTGATTGATCCATGTATCTGTATAAGTCTCTCTTTGTACCAATTACTCTTTTCTTAATGGAAACCATTCACACAGAATAGAAGGTTTTACATGGTACCAGAGTTGAGTCTTTTTGGGAACCTGATAACCTAAAATCCTTAGCGTTCAAACATACCAAGAAATCATAGCACTACTCTTCTCGCCAACATGGCGACCGAAGATTCCAACAAACAAAAATGCTCAACCAAGTTTGAGACCACCAAATACGAAGATCCCAACGATCCTCCTTATCTTCATCACTCCGATCAGCCTGGAGCGATTCTCGTCACACATCCACTAAATGACGAAAATTACTCCACTTGGAGCCGTGCCATGACCATGGCCCTTAATGCCAAGAACAAGGAAGGGTTCATTAATGGAACCATGAAAGAGCTTGCGTTGGCATCCACAATTGAATTCTAACAGTGGACTCGTTGCAACAACCTCGTGAAATCCAGGCTACTCAACTTTGTCTCGAAAGATATCGGAGCAAGTGTCATCTACAACAATGTTGCATATGATATTTGGAATGAATTAAATGAACGTTTCTCTCACACAAACAACGTACATCTCTTCCATATCGAACAAGAGATACATGAAAGTGTTCAAGGAAATATGAACATTGGTGCGTATTTTACCATACTAAAAAGCTTTTGGGATGATCATGATGCCTTGTGCTCTTTCCCAACTTGTGCATGTGGTGCTGTGAAGGAATTGATGCAGTTTCAGCGAAGTCAGAAAACCATGATTTTTCTCATGAGTCTCAATGAACACTATGTTGCAGTTCGTGAGCAAATATTACTTATGGATCCCCTTTCTGCTATCAACAAGGCTTTCTTACTCATTATTCAAGATGAGAAGCAAAAAGCAGTCTCAACACATGCTCCTGGAAGGTCCTCAATCACAGATGCAGCAGCTTTCGCCGTGTGGGACAACATGCGAAACTCTGGTAGGAATTTTTCTCCTAAAAATCCTCTTCTCAAATGTGATCGTTGTGATGCAACCAGACACACTTCAGATATCTGTCGAGCACACCTCAAGTGTGACTACTATAATTGGAGGGGTCACACCATTGATTAATGTCGCAAACTGAAAAAGGCAAAGGACAACAGCGATAGGGGAGATTATCAAGATCGCAGGGGTTCCAACTCCAAGGTTAATCATGTTGACATCAAGCCAATACCTTCAGCAACATCTCATTCGTCATATAGTCTTACTTCCGAGCAATATCACAACCTGCTTACACTCCTTGATAAGAGCCAATCCAACTCCACAGCCAATCATGTCGGTACCACCTCTACTATGAATGATTTCTCAGGTAGAGTTTTGTGTGCTTCTGCTTTCAATGAGGGAAAGAACTGGATCTTTGATACTGCTCACCGAGTTTAATGACTACAAGCATTCTAGTTTCCAATCGACAAGTGCACCTACCCAATCATGCACTTGCAGCTGTCACATTTATTGGCACAATTCGTCTCTCGAATGATCTCCTCCTTCACAATGTGCTTTGTGTTCCATCATTTAAACTAAATTTAATTTCTGTCAGCAAGGCTACTAATACCTCATTTTGCTTTGTCATCTTCACTGATAAAATGTGTCTACTTCAGGACCAACAATTCGGGAAGATGATTGAGACGGGAACTGAACGAGAAGGACTCTACTACCTTGATAATGTGACAAAAATCGGGTGCAATTCAGTATTAGTTGTTCCTTCTTCTCATCAACTTTGGCATCAACGTCTTGGCCACCTTTCCAATAGGCTATCTCTCCTTACATTAAGAACTTGAATTTTTGCAGCATTGATGATTGTTTGATTTGTCCATTAGCCAAACAAACACATGCTCATTTTCCTTTTGAGTTCTATTAATACAAATGCACCTTTTGAGTTACTTCATGTTGACATTTGGGGAGGTTACCATGTTCCCACTATCACTGGGGCACAATATTTCCTAACTATTGTGGATGATTTCTCACGTTGCACATGGGTTTATTAAATGAATCACAAATTGGATGCACGATCATATCTCATCACATTCATCAACCTTGTTGAAACACAATTTCCCACACGAGTTAAAGTTCTTCGCAGCGATAACGGTCCAGAATTTTTTATGACACAATTTTTCTCGGATAAGGGAATTATACATCAAACAAGTTGTGTCTCTACTCCACAACAAAACGAAGTAATAGAGCGCAAACACCGTCACTTGCTCAATGTTGCTAGAGCCTTACTTTTTCAATCTCGTCTTCCCAAGAAATTTTAGGGTGATGCAACCCTCACTGCCACCTATCTCATAAATAGGACTCCCACTTCTCTTCTTCATAGCAAATCACCCTATGAAGTACTTTGTCACAAGCAGCCAGCTTATGCACATTTATTAGTGTTTGGTTGTTTATGTTTTGCTTCCACACACCATCATCGTTTTGTCATTTTTTATGCAAGAGCCACTCGTTGTCTCTTTCTTGGCTATTCATATGGCACTAAGGGTTATCGGGTTTACGACCTTTAAACAGGTAAAATATTATTTCTCGTGATGTTATTTTCCATGAAAATGTGTTTCCTTTTTCATATTCCGCTGTAGTTTCACCTTTTGTGCTTCCACATGCTCAAGATACTGACTTTCATTACACCATCATTCATCAGTCCATTCTACCAGAGCAGGATTTAATCGACCCGTCGCCTTCTTCGCCGATGAGTCCTGCTTCAGTTCTTTCTCTTATTATTTCAACATCATCGTCACGTCTTAAACGACCCACTCATGCACCCGGTTATCTTCAACACTATCACATTGACGTCAACCTTCTTTCTTGGTCCATCCCTTTATCTCACTCGGGTTGGCCAAAGTGATAGGTACTTCTTACCCTTTGTCTGATGTACTCACATATGACCGTTTATCTGCTTGACACTATGTTTTCACCACTTCCATTTCAGCTGCCATAGAACCCAATTCATTCTCACAGGCTATACGCGACCCCCAATGATGCTTAGCCATGGAACAAGAACTGGCAGCCCTTGCTGCGAATAGAACATGGTCTCTTCAACTGTTGCCCCCTAGAAAGAAACTGGTTGGATGTAAGTGGGTCTACAAAATCAAATTTCGATTCGATAGATCCATTGAACGATATAAAGCACGCTTGGTCGCCAAGGGTTACAGCCAAAATTGAAGGCTTAGACTATCGCAAGACTTTTGCTTCGGTTGCAAAACTAACTACAGTCCGCCTTCTCCTTGCCATGCCTCGGTCCAACAATGCCTCCACCAACTTGACTTCAACAATGCCTTTCTCCATGGTGATCTTGAAGAAGATGTCTACATGTCTTTGCCTCCTGGTTTAGGACGAAATGAGAAGACATAAGTTTGTAAACTTCATAAATCTTTGTATGGGCTTAAGCAAGCCTCCCGTCAATGGTTTATCAAACTCTCTTGTGCTCTTAGAAAGGTCGGTTATCAACACTCCAAGGTAGACTATTCATTGTTCGTCTGAAACCATGATGGTAAATTCACTGCCGTCCTTTTTTATGTTGATGATATTATCTTGGCAGGGAATGACATACAAGCAATTAAGGATACCAAGTCTTTTCATATGAGGCAATTCAAGTTGAAAGACCTTGGGCAATCAAAATATATTTTGGGCATCGAAATTGCTCGCTCTATTAAGGGAAACACCCTCTCAATGCAAAAATATGCCCTTGAAACACTTGAGGATGCATGTTACCTTGGCGTGAAACCAGGCAGCTTTCCCATGGAGCAAAGTTTATCACTCAGGAATGACGAAAAAATTGCATGACTGGTCCTTCTTCTTATCGACGACTTGTTGGGAGACTAATCTACCTGACGATCACGCACCTTGATTTGGTCTATGATGTCCACATTCTTAGTCAATTTATGGAGAAGCCTCAAACTCCACACTTGGAGGAAACCCACAGAGTCTTACAATATGTTAAGCATACACTAGGGCAATGTATTTTTCTTTCTGCAAGAAGTCCAATTCAACCGAATGTTTTTTGTGATGCGGATTGGGCCAGATGTCGTGACACACGTCGTTCTACCACTGGATATTGTGCATTTCTTGGAGATTCCTTGATCTCCTGGAATAACAAGAAACAAAACACTGTGTCACATTCTAGTGTAGAGGCAGAGTATCATTCAATGGCTGCAACTTGTTGTGAAGTCACTTGGCTGAAATATGTTTTACAAGACTTGGGTATCAAACATAAATATCTAGTCAAGCTATATTACGATAATCAAGCGGCACTTCATATAGCTTTGAATCCGGTCTTTCACGAAAGAACCAAACACATAGAAATTGACCGCCACCTTGTACGAGAAAGGACATCTCACATTTCAACCATGAAACAACTAGCCGACATCTTCACAAAGTCATTGAGCTTCTACCAGTTCACGACTTTGCTTTGCAAGTTAGGAATAATCAACATCCATTCCAACTTGAGGGGGAGTGTCGAGTAAAGCAAAGTCTGTCATCAGTCCCTTGATTTAAGGAGTCCATCTCCTTGATTATTGTACATTCATCTCAGATTGCTTTTCATCCACATAGGATTCTAACTTATGTAATAGCTTGTATATGACTTAATTCCAGGATCTTGATTGATCCATGTATCTGTATAAGTCTCTCTTTGTACCAATTACTCTTTTCTTAATGAAAACCATTCACACAGAATAAAAGGTTTTACAAATTAGATAGCAACAATATTTCCGGCCCAATTCCAGGATTCTTTGCCAACTTTTCAAACCTGACTTCCTTGAATCTTAGTAATTGTGGTTTGCAAGGAACATTTTCGACCGAAATCTGTCAGATACCTGATTTACAAACTATTGACCTTTCCTCTAATCTGGAACTTTATGGTTCCTTGCCAGAATTTCGCAACAATAGATCTCTTTGATCATTGGTTCTAAGTGGGACAAGCTTTTCAGGGTTACTGCAAACTATTGACCTTTCCTATAATCCAAAACTTCATGGTTCCTTGCCAGAATTATACAACGATGGATCTCATAGGTCATTTGTTCTAAGTTGGACACTCGGAATGACTAATGGTCTAGTGAATGTTAAGTTGGACCAAAATTTTCTCAACGGGAGTATTCTGTCATCTATCTTTTCTCCTCCCATATTTGAATTACTATCACTTTCCCATAATCAATTCTATGGTCGACTCCCTAATTTTCGTAATGTCTCTTCCAACTTGTTTGCCTTCAATTTGAGTCTCAACAATTTGGAATGACCAGTATTAGTGTCTGTTTTTAGCTTTCAAAACCTTAAACAACTTTTTCTTACTTCCAACAATTTTAATAGCTTTCCTTCCAATGTTAGTTCTAAACAACCACCTTTTTGTACCTTGATATTTCCCACAATAGCTAAGTAATTAACAATACTCGAACAAGTTCCTCACATTTGTTGTTCTTCCTTCAAGTAGACAACTTGGATTAGGTTCCAATAAGTTGAGAACATTACCAGATTTCTTGAGAATTCAAACCTATTTACGAAAGTTGGACCTTTCGAGAAACCAAGTTCAAGGCCAAGTTCCCAATTGGATTTTGGGGGTCAGTTATCTTTATGATCTAAATCTTTCTTGTAACGCCTTGGTAAGTCTTGAAGGTCATTTAATCAAATCTACATCACCGGTGAACATCCTTGACCTTCATTCAAACCAACTTAAGAGGCCTATCCTACTTTTCCTATCATGTGCGGTTTATATGGATTGCTCGAGCACTCGAGTGTACCATCTAACATCGGTTATGTTCTTACTTGTCCCGTTTCTGATTTTCTTGGTTCCACTTTGTTCTTGTTTCTTTCAAGCAAGAACTTGCATGGGCTTATTCCAGTATCAATATGCAATGCAAATGAATTGATCATTCTTGATTTGTTGAATAATTCTTTAAGTGGTAGGATTCCCCAATGCCTGGGTGCAATGAGCAATCTTAGAGTTACTCAATTTAAAGAGAAACAACCGTACGAGAACTATTTCTAATTTTGAATTTCCTGAAACTAGTGACTTGAAAACTTTAAAGCTTAATCGAAATCAAATACAAGGTCAATTTCCAAAGTCGTCAGCCAACTGCAAACATTCACAAGTTCTAAAACTTGATAGCAATCGGATGACAGATACATTCCCATGCTTTTTGAAGAACAACTCCACCTTGCGTGTCCTTGCTTTGTAGTCCAACAACTTCTAACGGGCATTGGATGTTCAGAGACCAATGGCACCTGGCGAGTGCTTCAAATCCTAGACCTAGCTTACAACAATTTCATTGGTGAAGTACCGAGAGTAGCCTTGACAACGTGAAGGACAATGATGGTAACTAAGATGATTCCCTATTGACAGTCGATTTCCAAGAAAATCCACACATTGCTGGAGGACCTAGAATTTCTTATGAGCATGCTATAACAGTTGCCGGCAAAGGTTTAGAGATGGTTATTGTAAGGATTGTGACAGTCTATACCTTGATTGACTTCTCATGCAACAATTTTAGTGACCAATACCTGAGGAAGTGGGAGAATTCAAGTCATTGTATTTCCTAAACAAGTAATGCATCCACAAGGGAAATCCCATCATCATTTGGGAAAATGAGACAGCTCGAGTCCTTAGACTTATCACAAAACAAGCTAAGCAGCAAAATTCCATCATAGTTGACAAAGCTTACTTTCCTTTTGTTCTTGAATCTCTTGAACAATCAATTGGTCGGCAGGATCCCAACTATTACTTAGTTTTCGACATTTCAAAAAACTTGCTTTACCGAAAACAAAGGATTATAGGAGCCTCCGTTGGCTGTGGACAACAAAGTAGGATCATCATCACCACCACCAACATTAAATGGAAGTAAACAAAATTGTGGAGATGAGATCGATTGAGATCTTATCAGTATCGAAATTGGATTCGCATTTGCATTCGGAGTTGTCGTTGGCTCACTTGTGTTGTGCAGGAGATGGAGTAAATGGTATTACGAAGCCATGTATAAGATCCTTGTTAATGTGTTTGCTCAGCTTGAAGAAAGAACAGGACGCCACTGAAGACATGTTCACATAAATCAAAGGAAGTTGAAATGGCTTTGAGGTATCTTAAGATCCAAGAAACAAAGAAGTGTGCTCTCTACTTTCACCTTTTAAGTGAATTATACTAGCTCTAGTTAGTTTTGTAATAATTTATATTGTATTTTCTGCTTTATTTTAATAAACATCAAACAAAACTTAAAAAAAAAAAAAAAAAAAAAAAAAAAAAATTCTGGCAACTGAGAAACAAGAGCCCAAGTAAACTTCCCTCTAATTGTATGATGACATGGATGCACCGCCTCGTGTTACGGGCATACTAAAAATTTTCTCCACAAACTTGTCAACCGTAAGATTGTTAGTGTCTCTAAAAAATTAAAATTGGGAAACATGTTGGCAATAGGAAATTTTATATTTTGTCTTTGAACTTTCGCTATAACTAGTAATTGTGCCCGCGCGTTGCTGCGGGTTTTAAAAGTGTATAAAATTTGTAAAAAGTTTTAGAGATGTATATGTATTCATGATATTTATAGCAAGGAACGAACATATAGGTATAACAGATGGTTGAGTTTGGACTTGATAATGAAGCAATTGTAAGAAACAGTGCAGCTGTAATTCAAAGGTCAAAGTTGGTGTAGTGCGTGAAAGAATGTTGATTGAAGCGAGAGTTCGCAAATGGTTCTTTAGTCTATAAATTAATAGTTAAGATGTAGGGAAGTATTAAGGCAATTAGTATTAAACTAAGGCAAGAAATAATATTGTTATTGTTGATAACTAAATAGGCGAGAAATAATTTGAACAAAACACACAAAAGATAGTGTTAGAATGGTGTACCTTGTGATGAACAATGATTGGAGACAATGTTGTACACAGAAATTGGTTAGTGTGTCCACTAAAGAGTAAATATGTGAAAAATATGCTAGAAAAGAACAGTAAATCAAGACCAAGTTGAAATACAGAGTTACATTCAAATGGTGAACAATCTGGAAAACACATGAGTATGAACAAAATTTTATGTATCTAAGTGATCTAAGAATTGGAAAAGTTAGGAACGCTGGTAGTTAAGCATTTGCTAGAAAAAAAATTTTGGTGTTTTTGTTTAAAAGTGATTCCAATGCTGTAAAAATACAATTTAAATGTGCTTTCATGTGTAGTGTGGTCTTGTAAAATTGGAAATAAAAATTTATCTAATTTCCAACTGATTAATCATCTAAGGAACCGAGTATGTGTCATTGGTTGTATTCATATGGAATATCTTAGATAAAAATATGCACAAAGGAAGTTGAGAGATTGCATTGTTGAATCAAAGTGAAAACATAGCTAATTAAAGAATGTTGCGGACAAATGTAAGGGAAAATCAGTAGAAAAGGATAAGAAAAAATGTAATCAATATATTAAACATGTTAATGCAAGACTTTACAAAACGGAATAATTGGATTCAAACAAACTGATTCACTGTTTAGTTAGAACGTTGGTGTTATGAATACAATAGTAAAAAAGGCAATAAATAAATTTAACCTCTAACCAAAGCATTCCTCGATCAAATTGAAAAGTAATATTGTTAATTAACAGATAATTTTGTTATCAATTGTTTTGTAAAAATGTAATAAGATATTGTACAAAGATGGATCAGATACGTTTGGTTTGGTGTTTTGGTGTAAAACAGAGGTATAAGCTGCTAAGTTATTTCAACTTGCATAATTTAGAGAAAAGATCATCATTTCCATCTTTCCTCCTCAGAGGAATCAGTTGTTATCAATTTGTAGATAAAGACTTTCTTCTATTGACTTGGTCTTAATACATGGTTAATGATTGGCCTGATCACTGAGGGGTTTACAATGGATGTCTAAAAGTATAGACAAAGATGTTCCTACCAAAGATGTAGTTGTTCCAAATGTTCTGTGGTTGAACTAAGGCATGTGGAAAGGGTATATCTCAAGCGGGAACGTCTTGAGTAATACTTTTAGATATTGAAGTAAACTCTTGAGTGATCAGGGGAGGGATTAATTGTGTATTATAGACTAAGTTAAAAAAAGATAGTGATTATCTACATTGATAACAGCGAATTCCCCTGAGGAAAAATGTTAGTAAAGATTGAATGTAAAAGCAAAATGTTAATTAAAAAAAAAAGGTAATAAAGCTTGAATTCTTGATACATACCGATGAAGCCTTGAACTGTAATTTAGGATATAGAGCAGAGAAAGGATGAATTGAAGATGTTAAGTAAACGCAAGGATTTATACCTTAATTGAATTTCCAGATTAATTTTCTTTTGGAAAAATGTGAACCTACAAAAGAAAATTGAATTTATGATTAAGGAGAAATGAATGTTGACGAACTGAATAGAACACAGAAAAACATTGATTTTATTTAGGGAAAATTTTTTGAGTGAAAAACTTGAAACCCAGAGATTTCTAATTTTTAACCAAAGATTAAAATATTGGATGAATACATGAAACAGTTTTTGGTGTTTACTATAGTTAAGATATTATTTTATTGCATTCTAAGCATTACTGACACATCATTGGTAAAAAAATGAAAGCTCATATTGTATTTAATTAAACTACGGAAACAACATAGTGATAGAATGGAAATGGAGATAGATATATTATTTGACAATACCAAATCACGGTCTGTAAAGATCAATAATGTATGGTTTGCTAGAAAGGAGAAACATTATCTCATATGGATTAAAATAATTAACAAATTCTCAGCGAATGAACACGAAAAGGGTATGAAAAAGTCACCCGATTTTTTAATTAGAAAAATGGCAAAGATTAAAAACAGGTTATAAGTTGTGAGTTCTAACCACTACCAAAACGATCATATCGTTTATATTCGCTATTAGTTCTATTTTTGTCATTAGATTTTGCAGAAGCAGTAACTTCAGCCAGCAACATATCTTAATTAAACTTTAATCGATATTTTATTCATTAATTAAAACGGTGTTTCGATTTAAATGAAACACATGAAATTTAATAAACAATTAATTGGAAGCCACGATTGAAAATATAAACTTTATATCCAATTTAAAAAAAAATTAATTTTTTTTGCTTACCAGTTTCCAGTTTTTGGTGCCTGTTCTTGGATTTAATGTCAAAAGTGGGAGCCGAATGTATCTGTCTGTAGTTGTTGCCATCAATGTACCTGAGGACAAATATAAAAAGAAAGAAGAAACTGTAAATTTGGTCAAAATGAGTAATTAGGTAGCAAAAAAAAAAAAAGATGGTTTAGTTTTTTAAGAAGCTGAAAGCTTGTAATTAATCGGAAGTTGATACTCACACTTATCAATTTCCACCTAATTTGAATGTGAATGATTTAGGCTTGAAAAAATTGTACAAAATTTTTGAAGAAGATGAAAATTTAAGCAAAGGATAAGGATTGGGCAATTTGGACTCACCCAATCATAAGAAATAATTGGACAAAAGTATTAACACATTAAGTAAAAATTAAAATCATATTAGTTTGAAACTGATATGATGTTTATCATAAAAAAACATAAACAAATAATTTAATTGAAAATTTGAAATTCAGAACAACTAAGATAAACATAAGCAATTTATCATGGAAGATGATCAAAAATGTTTTTATTTACAGTTAATGAATGCATGGATTGTTCAATATGTAAAAAGGATGGTAAAAATTCTATTGCAAATTTTGAAGCACATCTTTAAATACTATATTTGTTGTATAATTGTTTGCACTGTTTTCTCCGTTTGTTATCAAAATTTTTAAACCTTCTCTTGATGTAACTCTAGATAATGCAACATATAACTGACCATGCGTAAAAACAGGTTCAGGAAGATATAATCCAACTTGTTTCAAAGATTGGCCTTGACTTTTATTAATAGTCATTGCATAACACGGCCTAACTGGAAATTGACGTCTTTTAAAAATAAAAGGCCATTTGCTTTCAGTTGCTGCAAGAGTGATTCTTGGTATAAAAACTTTGTAACCAATATTAGTTCCAGTAAGTATTTTAGCTTCGATGATTCTATCAAACATTTGTGTAATAACCAATCTAGTTCCATTACATAAACCAAAAGACTGATTTAAATTTCTTAATAACATAATTGGCATTCCTATTTTTAAAATTAGGTGGTGTGGTGGTAAACCATTGAAATCAAGTTTATTTAAAAATTCTACAGGATACATTGTTTCAAGATTTTCAATATTTCCATTTGAAGAACACAAAGAATCATAACTTAAAAATGCATGTTGTTCTCCAGGTAATAAATTAATTATATAATCATTTATATCTGATACGGTTGCATTTCGAGGTGTCACAATAGCTCGTTCTCTTAGATAATCAAAACTATGAAAAGAATTTTGAAAATCAGGGTAAGTTGCCAAAAAGATTGAAGAAATTGGATTTGTAGAATAATGTATTATGAAATCTTTAGGTATTTGAATCAAAGATGTGTCTGCATCATTTGAATCAGTTGGGTTATGTATGCTATCAACCTTTCCATCACCTACTTTTAAAATCCAATCTGCAAAATCTTTGATTTTTTTCTTTTCATCAATGCTTATATCGCTTCTTGATAATCTCATATTTTCTTTTAAAACAAAAATTTTAAAATGTGACCATAGATAAGAACTGTTTAAAGTCGCATTTATTATATCTTCTTTGTTTGCTCCAGGAATAACAGGTAATATTTGTCGAAAATCACCACCTAACAAAAGAGGTTTCCCACCAAACGGAAAATTTTTATTTGAAACATGTACATGTGATAAAATGTCAGAAAGCGATCTATCCAATGCTTCAAAACAATATTTATGATTCATTGGTGCTTCATCCCATATAATCAAATCTGTTTTTTCAATTAATGTAGCAAGATGAGTTTTTTTCTTTATCGGACAAACTGAGTTATCTGTAACAACCAATGGAATTTTAAATCTAGAATGAGCTGTTCTACCACTGGGTAGTAATAGTGATGCTATTCCTGAGGATGCCACAGCCAAAACAATTTTTCCTTCAGATCTAAGCTTACTTATAATTGTATCCCATAAAAAAGTTTTTCCAGTACCTCCATGACCATAAACAAAAAATAATCCTTGTTTTTTTCTATTTACAACATCTATAACAAAATCATACACATATTTTTGATCTTTATTAAGCTGTGATTTTAAGATTTGATGTTTTTTAGATAATTCTTCACAATTGTAATTCAATTCTTCTCTCAGAAGTTTATTTTTTATTTCCAACATTTTTTGTTCATCAGGCATTGGCAAATGATGTTTTTCCAATGAGGTAGATGCATTGTTAAAAAGCAACTCTAACTCAAATAAAACAGAATTTTTTAATTCATTCTCTGGTATAATCATATCAGGTATAGCAAGAGTTTTTCTCAGTTTGTATAAAATATCATCATACATATTTTTCCAATGAGTATTAAAAAGAACTTCAGGATTTGCTACATCACAAAACAAAATTATTGTAACAAACAATTGCCTTAATTGAGAAGATGACGCAACATGGGTAGCAGTTGATAAAGCATCTAACCATTCTTTATCATCACCTAATAATCCTAATGATTTACATGCAGCTTGATACGAAGAGTGCACCACACCATTAACAGTTTTGATATCATCAAAATTTAAAGCACCTTTTTTCAAGTTTAAAAGCATTCTTAAATAATATAACTCACCAGATGCAGGGTGCACATATGCTATTCTGCCAATTGATCCTTTGCGTTTTCTCGGTTTCCAACATTTTTTTCGCGCATCATATAAGAATTTGGATGGCATCTGTGCATAAGTCAATAAACGTGCTTCATTATAAATTTTATTTGTCTCAAACCAACTTGTCAACATTGTGTGTTCAAAAGCTCTTTGATTGATAATTGATATGAGCGATTGATCACCACTGAAAACAATGTTTTGTTCTAATGGTAAATGCACTGGTAATCGTTCAACAGAAGGTTCTCTATGGTGTATCGAATATTGAAACAATCGCCAAACAGCCTCATAAGGTGATATGTATCTACAATTGAGATATGTTAATATTTCATCATTTATATCTTGCTGAAGAACTAACCGTGCTCTATCTGAACCTTTGTTAACATATTTGAACAAATATTTTATAAGCATAGATTGACAACATGATTCAACATTTATATGTGCATTATATCTCAAAAGTAGCTCTGCATTATAAGGAACAACAAAACTGTTATCAATTTTTATTCCATTTTTTATGAAAAATTTTGTATCATCATCACGACGTTTATAAATTGGAAACCCATTTGATTCAAGAAAAGTCTCATTTCTATAAGGTTTTGGAAAATTTTTTGAACGCCTATTTTCTCGCATGCAAGGAGATTTTAAATTAATGTGACCACATGGACCATGAATCATAAATTGATTAACAATATCATAAAGCTTTGGATTAAGAATTTTATCTGGTATTTCAGCTGAAATAATAGAATCAATATCAGACGGAGAAACACATTTGAAGTTTGACTTGAGCCATATTAATATATGAGAATGAGGTAAACCTCTTTTCTGAAATTCGATCGTGCAAACATCTGTTTATAAAAAGAATAAAAATTAGACAAACAAAGAAAAAACAAATGATGTTAGTTTGATTTAAAAAAAAAAATTGCAAATTAATATAAGCAACAAAATAAATTTTTAAAACTTACTTGCTTCGACTTCCCCAAAAGGCTTTCCAGATTTTATAAAGTCAAGCATATCATCAAGTTTCATTTTAAACATGCGGAAAATTATATCAGGCCTATCCTCAGGTTTGAATCCTGGTTTTTTCTCAAATTCTCTAACAATTTCTGGCCATTTTATATTGCAAGTAAATGTTATGAACAAATCAGGAAGTCCATTTTCTCGACAAATAGGCATTGCATCATGATAATTATTAATCATATATCTAGGACTTCCTGTATATGAAGCTGGCAACACAACTTTTTGGCCCAAATTATTTGCATCGTTATCACCCTTTGCCACCGCATCATAAATCCCTTTGTAAACCTCACTTCTTAAATTTTTTTGGTTTTGTCTAATGTAATCCAACCTATCTTCTTCAAGTGTTGCATAAGAATCTACCAAATATTGTTGAAAAAGCCTTCCTCCTTTTAACAATGTTGTTAAACATGGGTCTCGTTCTTGAATTTGGTAAGCTATAAAAGCTCTCATGGGTATTCTTTGTCTTTTAGTTTTTGGACCTTTATAATTTTCACTCCACTTTAAATCTGGTCTATACCCATCTTCACCATATGGAAAAAGAATAGGATATTGCAAAGACATAAATTTTGGATTTAATTTTGTGACACGCTTTAACCCTTCACTTTTAGACTCTATAATAATATCTCTATTAGAATCAGCAAGTCCTATATCACCAACTATTAAACCACTTAATTCATCACTTGTTGGTTGGTCATATTGCTTGCTATCCGTTAGTTCTCTTGCTAATATTCTCATTTTTAAAGAAATTAGTCCATCAGTTTCATATTTATCCCTTGCTGTTCGAAATAGCTTAACTAACTTATTTGATGCATCAAACATTTTAATCAAACCTTCAACAATTTTTGGATCAAGTTTTTTATTATTTCCATCAGATTCAAAAGCTCTAAGACGATTCTGAACTTCATTATATGTATCATAAATATACAATTGAGCAAACTTTGGAGACTCATTGTCAGCTGGTAAAAGAGATCCCATCAGATGACAAACTTGCCCACTAATTTTGAAAATATAAGGGCTTGACCCATCATTAATTGAGTGATCAACTTTGGCACCCATTGAAGTAAATGAGAACATTGAATTGTACGCTCTAATGTTTTCTCGAAATGATAAACTTTTTTGGCCTCCATTTGGATCAAGCAAAGATTCTAAAAAAGGTGGTGTCGCTTTTGGAGTTGGAAAAGCAATTTTTCCTTGTTGACAACAAAGAGTAAAAACGGGTTCATTTTTTTTGGATGCTTGTTTAAGAGATTCTTTTAACCAAAAGTAAGCACCACAGTGGATACATTTATAAGTTTTATCCCCAAAGTCCACATAACCTATTCCAACTCCTGCATAAAAAAACACACACATGAAAAAAAAACAAAGAAAAGAGGACTTAAAATCAATACACCAATAACTAAATATCCAATTAGTACAATAAGGAATAATTTTTTATGTTAAAAAACATACCAGTTTTACTTTTTTGGAAAAATGCTTGACCCTTGCTCATAGAAGAGTGATTCTCAACATCAAACGTTTTTTCAAATGTGTTATCAGGATTACTCAAGAAATTAACAACTTTTTTCCCTTTTTGATCAGAAACGCAGACAATTTTTTCAGCAGATGTGACATGTTGTGCTTCATCACTATTAACATCTTTAATACCACATTGGATAACATCAGATGAGCTAGCACTACAATCATGTCTAAAATGTGAAGTTTCACATAGAAATCCATCAGTCTTGGAGAAAACAGCATTTTGACAATTTTCCATATAACTGGCTCTACACACTTTTCTTAGACGGCGGCTATATTCAACTGAGAGATTATATTCATCATCACTACTGTTTTCATTTTGGTCCACAACATCATTTACCAATGCATTTATAGGTCTTTTAGACATAATGGAAAACAACTGTTATAACCAATTCAAAAACAAAGAATTGCAAAGAAGGAAAAAAAAAAGGACAAAACAAAAGAGAAAAAAAATTAATAAATATATAAGACAAACAATAAAAGAACATAATAAATATTAAATATAAGCAAACCAACCACATTGAAATTTCAATTCATAAAAAATTTTACCTCTTTTCTTTTGCCTCTGTATCAAGTGTGAAGAAAAATTATTTGTCTTCAGCCAGGGTACAGGTTGGAATTTTTTAAACACCTATGCACCAGAGAAATTTGTCACATTACACTGACAAAGTAAATAACCATTAACAAATCTGTACCCATGATTTCAATTCAAACATACACTAATCGGTGAGGAAACTCAAAATTCAATCCATCAACTTCAGCTCAGAAGTCCTATCTACGCATTTTTTGACAACAATAACAAAATTATTTCTTTTATCAAATCCCCAGAACAAAATGAAACATAACCCACAAAATTCCATTGATTTCTCACTTCTACTAAGTTTTCACAGCCAATCCAAGTACAGAAGCAAAAGGCAAACATTAAGCGTAAGAAGAAAAAAAACCAAAATTACCAATTTTTCTGGATTCTTAATTAACTTATATCAACACATAGTAGGCATCCCCAATAACCCAAATCACCAAAAGTTTCAAACTTTAGCAAAAATTATCAAAATTAAACAAAATGGACATTGACTCAGAAACATATACACATAGCTGATGAATATATTCATATTCCCTGTAGAATAACCTGACCTACATCAAAAAGAGTAGGCAACAATGAATAATGAGACCTACACTTATCAATTTACACATAAATTCCAATTCTGAATCATTTAGGCTTCCAAAAAATTGCTCAGAAATGTTAAAGAAAATAAACAAACTGAAACAAAGTAACATGTACTGGATAATGAAGACTCACCCCAAATTCCTATGAAGGTCTGCTACACACGTGATGACACGTTTACAAAGCCTTTCAAAGGTTGAGATTCAACTTTCAAATACGAAGACTTCAAGCCACAATTGTTCTTTCTAGCTACTTCAGCTACATAACCAGAAAAAAAAAATTACTTTAATTATAGTTAACCAATCTGGCTTAAGATTAATCAAAAAGCTTGGAAGTTTCATATGTAAAATCACACTTCAGGCTGCAAGTAGAATCAAAACCATGGAATTTCAAAACCACTCACCCTAAAAACAGTGTACTGTTCACTCATCCCTCTCTATTTCTATCTTTGCAATCCGAACTGCTCCCTCCCTCTTTTTCTCTCTGTAACACTTACAGAATTATAGATCTCGTATGAACAGGTCTTACTTGCCCTTGTTCACGCCTCCCTCTCTCTTTCTCTCTCTGTAACACTTCCTCACCAAATCTAAACACCCAGCTCTCGATCTCACCAACTATAACCCTCACCCCTCCCAAGTCTAAAATGATAATACTGCTTACCCAACCCAATCTAAAACATCGAATCACACACTGAGATGCACAAAAAGAAATTAACAAATCCAAAACGGAATACAAAAATTAAGAACCAGCAAGCAAAAAAATCAGAAAACTTACCAGAAAAAAGACATGAGCATCGACGAAAAAATCGCCCAACAAATGTGACTCAGAAGACTTCCTCTCTAATGATTCAAAGAAAACGCTCTGTTTTTGCGATAACGGTATCGCACAATACCAATTTCAACTTTTTTTTTTCCAGCAAACGCCAAAAAACATGAGACAAAAATGATATTTCTAGGAATCCAATCCTTTTGAACCACAAAAAGCACACTTGCTAATTCACGGGGCAAAAGAAAGATGGGAAAATCAGAAGCAGTGCAAGAGGAAAATTTGAGGCACAAAGAAAAGCAAGGCAAGAGTAGGCATCAACGACAGGACAACCAAAGAAAACCCTAAAGAAAGAACCAACAAAATCGAAGCAGGAGAACCGGCGATGATAGACGCGTGTCATAGGAGGGCATTTCCGTCATTTAACTGTTCAACCAAGAGTAAAAACGCCTGGTGGAAAACCAAACAGAGGGCACTTTCGCCACTTTACTGTCCGTGAACAGTAAACTGGCGTTTGGGTTTTAGTATAGGATAATATATAACCGATTCTTGAACGAAAAATTTCTTGATTGAGGTTCTTGAACTTAACAAACATGCACTATTTTTGTCCATGTCGCTAATTTTCATTAAGATTTCTTAATATAATAATTCGCCATTCATGATGGTTTCATATATCTAAATATGTGATCATGAATTAAATCTAAACTAAATTGAAGTTTAGAATCAATATTAGGGTGAAGGGAAATACTAAGCAAACTATCTTAAAAGTTGAATTCTATGTATTTTTCGACACCTTATATTTTGACAAAATTTTTGTATCAACATTATAAAATATTATGCTAAAAATATTTAGTTGCGGATAGTTCATAAAAAGTTCCGTTTTGATAGACCCCTTCACAGTTGAAAGTTCAAAGGTAAACTGTCATTTTATATTCTTGTCATAGATCAAATCGATAAACAACATGGCGAAAAAACCAACGACGTCGGTGCACATTTTGTTATAGTTCTCTTTTGTCCTTTCCTTCTCATAACGCACTGAAAAAGTACCACGACAGAGTTATACCACTCCATCAGTACAAAATTGACAATTAATTTAACCAGAAATTATATGATATTGACATTCCAATATATTATATCAGTTGGAAATTAAAATAAAATTAATAGTTTTGGTAATGTTGGATATTCACATTAAATTTTATAAATTATAAATATAGTTAATAATCAAATTATTATTTAAAAAATTAGCCTATCTAACATTATGCTTAGTTACAAATTACAATCAATAATGTTGCTTCTCAAACAAGCGGATTTGCCAAGAATACTTATTTTCTCGATCGGTTAGTTTTGATTAGATACACACCATAACATGGTAGTAAAGAATGTTATTCACATAACAGGCCCAATAATATTATTGTATCGCGTTATCTAATAAAAAGTATGCACGTGTTAAGTAAAAAAGGTTCACGCGTAGCACTTAAACAGATGTGTTGAGAGTCAGACTTGAAATGCAAGTTTTTGCATTAATATGTAATACGCAAACTAGATCGCACAAACTAATTAAGATATGAGAGGATACTGTAATTCAAAGGGGAATGTACTTGAGAAACCCTTTTTCAAGGAAAAATATTAAAAACAAAACAAAAGAAACCCTTCACAAGAAGGAACAAATACTAATTTTTTTTTTTTCTTCCAGATCGAATGACGCTACGTTGATGGAAGGAAATGAGATGGAAGACTTTACTGAGGGTTGGGTGGGCGGCTGTTGGCAGCAGAAACCCTAGACCCCCACTCAAGCAACTCTTTGCTGGTATCATCCTTGTGGGCTATCACCTCAATGAAGCACAAGCTATCCTTCTTCGCCCCGGTTGCAGTCTCAATCGCTTCAATCAGCTCCTCTTCGCAACGGACCTGAAGAATTGATAGATTCGGTTACAAGGAGTTTCACGATCCAGGAAACCCTTTGACTGATTAGTTGGAACAGATTAGATTAGAATGCACTAACAAACTAATTACCTTGGTTGTCCAGCACTTGCCCTCCCCGTTGTGGATGGCATCAACTAGTCCAGTGTAGTTCCAGTTCTTAATCACATTGTAGGGTCCGTCATGGATCTCCACCTCAATTGTGTATCCGCCGTTGTTTATCAGGAAGATGATGTTCTTCTGCCCATTTCGGATCATGGTGGACACATCTTGAACAGTCACCTATTAGTGAGCGAAAAATGGAAAAGTTCAAACAAGCTCTTTCAAATACAGCGCATAATTTAAATTAAATTCAAAAGATGGGTGTTTCGCAATATTTATGAAATGTTAGGCTGCAAATCCGATAATGTTAACCGAGAAAATTTGATAAGGTTCGTAATGGGTACTTCACAATTTACAGCGTGCTAGAGAAAAGAACTAAATGTACCTGGAAACTCCCATCGCCGATGAAAGCAATCACACGCTTCTCAGGAACAGCTTGAGCATACCCAAGAGTTGCTCCAACTGACCAACCAATTGATCCATACTGCATCTGGAACTCATACCTGCAAACCCGATTTCAACTTCCCAATTGAATAAAAAACCATAACATAGAAAGAAACATGAAAAACCGCATTCTCTCCTTGGCTTACCCGCAACCAGCCGGCAATTTCAGTTTCTGGCAGTTAAACCATGAGTCCCCTGTCTCAGCAATCACAGCAGTTTCACTTGACAGCATATTCTGGATGTGGTGGAACAGAACATTAACCCTCAAAGGTTCTTTCGGTGCAGACTTTAGAGGGTGTCCATTGGGAACAAAGATCCTGCTGTAGTTCTCATGAGCAGTTTTGTTGTGCTTGAGCCTCTTTGCCAGAGCTCGGAGGAAATCCTTCATCAGAACACAACCAAATGAAGGGCCATTTCCTATGGTCACGCGATCGGGCTGCACCACAATTGCCTTCTCTTTCTTGAGAAGCAGAGAGTATCCAACAGAGCTGTAGTCGTTGAAAATCGGTCCAGCAAACAAGTATGCATCAGCAGACTCCACAATCTCGGCGCAAAAGGCAGTGCTCACAGCACCCCAGTATGTTCCAATGAAATGGGGGTGGTGCTCTGGCACAAGGCCCTTTGCAGATGGCATGACAGCAAGAGCATAACCACTAGCATCAGCTAGTTCAACGAAGGCATTGCCAGCATGTGCAACTCGAAGTTTAGGCCCCCCTACCATAACCGGCTTCACTGCCTTGTTCAAGAACTCTGCAGCCGCCTCCACGGCAGCCTCTAAGCCCAAATGATTGCTCAATCTGCGGACCAAAACAAACAAATATATAAATTTCACACCTAAAAAGTTACAAAACATTTCCAGACACTTCAACTAAATGGAAAAGAAACCCGAAAATGTGTACCTTGGAGACAATGAGAACGGAACAGGATCCCGGCTAAAAGTAGGATGAGGAATTCCAGCCAAGTTGCAGCTTATGCTGATATAAACAGGCTTGCTTTCTTTCAAGGCGGTTGAAATTGCGGTATCAATCATTTCATGAGCATCTTCCAGATTATTTACCACAGCCTAGTAAAAACCCACCATATGAAAATTAGCAAGCTTTCAAAACGAACCAAAAAAGAGCAAAACAATACCAAATTTAGCAAAACCAAACTCACTACAAATCTTTCACAAAACCCATCAATAACCCAACATCAAAATTCAACATAAAAAATAAATTAAAAAACCAGAATCTTGATTTCATGCAAACCTGATAGCAAGTCACGGTCTGGAAGCATCTCAGCTCTTGGCTAAAATCCGGTAACCCAATAGTGTGGTGAAGAATCCTGTGCGTCCCGTGATCGTTCGAGTTGGGTCCTCCAACTATACAAATCAATGGCAGATTCTCACTGTAAGCTCCGGCGATAGCATTGAGAACACTGAGCCCACCCACAGTGAAAGTAACAGCACACGCCCCGACTCCCCGCGACCGAGCGTAGCCGTCAGCAGCGTACCCGGCGTTGAGTTCGTTGCAGCAGCCGATGTTGGTGAGCCCGGGCTCGGCGATGAGGTGGTCGAGGAGAGTCAAGTTAAAGTCACCGGGGACAGTGAACACGTCAGTGACGCCGATTTGGACGAGTCGGCGGGCGATGTGGCGACCCAGAGTGGCGTCAGAGGAATTGACGGTGGAGGGGGCAGTGCTTTGGATTGCCGAAGCGGCGCCGTTTGGGAGGCTTCCGACTTCGGTGCACGCCGGCTTGCAAACGTCGAGGGAACCGATTTTGGTGTCCATGGGTTTCTGAACTGGGTTTTGATCGTACTCAAAAAACGTACTTGAAAACTGCTCGGAAAACAGAAAAGATGGGAACTTCGCGATGGTATTAGGGTTTTTCTGGGATTTATGGAATTTGGTTTGGGAAAATGGTTTGGAAGGAGGTGAGTTTTTATAGGGGAAGTGAGAGGAAGATACTAGGGGCGTTTTTTCATGAGAGACGGTGTTTGGACCGTTGCAGTCGATTCTAAATACTGGGTGAATGAGTGGCGCGCAAGTATTATAATATTAATTTTTGGTTCAAAAATCTTAGATGGGAAAGGACATAGATACTTCTAATTACCCAATTAAAACTCTCTAATTTTTTTCTCCTTAAATATCCTACTTACTAAACCTTGATGTTGATTTGTATTATGGAATAAATTACTTTGTTAATAAAATATAACCTTTTGTAATGTGTGTTATGCTTAGTATATTAATATTACTCAAATTATAATCCTAATTTTTTTTCCTTGATGATCCTACTAAGGCTTGATTTTGTTTGTATTCTAAAATAAGTCATTTTTGTTATAAAATACACCTTGTGTAATGTGTGTTATGCTTAGTACATTGATATCACTTTGTTGGGCCTAAAATTCACATTTTTGACTTAATTGAAGTTAGCTCAGAAGGGTGTCTGCAAGTCTCAACCCAGTGGAGAGATGCTAATGATTCGACTAGATACTGGATAAAGTATGATTGTCTTGAGATTAAAATCAGTTTCTGATGAGGTTCGAGTTATTTATTTAAGAATCATGATTGGTTTTTAAATCAGGGTTGACTTTATCACTTCATGCAACTAGATTCAGAACCCTAGTGCAAATGAAACTTGGTGGTGATGAGTTTTGGTGAAGGAAATTGTGAAGATAATTTTGTATTTTGAAGTATATGTTGAGGAATTGAAATGTAACCAAAATTATACCACTCGGCAAACTTGGACATCATGAAACTCACCTTTATAAATATAAGTGGTTTTGCAATCTTCAACCCACGCAAACAAACGCTTTACGTGGAATCCTTGCTCTACAGGAAATCTTCTCATGTCTTGAGAAAAATACTAACTAATTGCTCCACTAACCCCTCTGCCAGCACATATTCAGTTTAGTTTAACATCACTGGGTTAACAAACCAGCAACATATTCAGTTTGGTTAAACAACACTATTACTAGTTCAGTTGATT